CAAAGGACCTGGTTAACAGCGGCTCTCAACCCAGCAGCTCTTTAGAACCACCCAGAGCCCAAAAGTGCCAGAGCCTGGCCCCATTCTGCAGGATTTTACTTTGGGATAACAAAGAGATTTTGCTTTGGGGTAATCTGGGTGGGACCAGGCATAAAAATTCTTAAAATCTTTTTTTTGTGTGTTTGACTCTAAGAAGAATTCCTATCTAGTTTTTACCCTGTAGCCTTCTGTGAGTCTATGCTTTCACCATATTTATAGATTTAGGCACATTTAAATTCCATTCTCTTTGTAACCTTCCTCAAAGGAGACATTTTTTTTTTTAAACCGGAAAGTTATGAAACATAATAGGAATTAACAAATTTGCTCTTCTGAAATACAAAAACACTTGATTTTACAGAATTTTCAGAATTGTTCTGTAGTTATGTCTGAGATGTAGCCAGAGTGGCAGCCAACACCTTCTTCATTTTACAATCAAAGCAATCACCTGTCTTTCTCCTTTCTAAATTCACTTAACAGAATGAAGCTTTCTCACATGAGTCTTCCTTTTGAAATTTGCAAAGGGATAGCCTGGATTCCATGTATTGCAATAATAGTAATATAAACAATATAGAGGGGTAATAAATATAGTAACAATGAGAACAATAATAACGTCTTTGTTGATTGTGTTAGGCTGTTTAGATTGGGATTTGTTGAGGCTATGTGCCCTCAAACATCACATGTTCATAATGAGTGGTGTTTGAACCTGCTGAGATAGGAAGTTTAAATTAAAGATTATGTACCCCAATGTTTATGATAGATTTTAGTTGAATATTTAAAGTTTGTCTAGCCTCTGCTTCAGATTCTGTGCTAATGTACTCATCATTACTTATAATAATCCTAATCCTGCACAATAATTGAGACAGGTATATACAATTATATAGGAGCACCCAGGGGAATAGTGAAGATTCCATAAATAGAATACACAGGGAAAATTAGTGTGTAACACCCCCAACACACACACACACACACACACACACACACACACACACACACCTTTCTCTCTCCAATTTTCTACGTCACAGAAAAGCCACTTTGTTTCAATCGTGGAATAACTTCTAAATTATCTTCTTCAAACCTGAATGATTTAATTGGCAATGCTTTTTACAATACACTTAGTGCATTTTGCATCAAAGAATTATGTGCTGCCCTGGCCGGTTTGGCTCAGCAGTTAGAGTGTCGGCCTGCGGTCCCGAGAGACCTGGGTTCGGTTCCCGCTAAGGGCATGTACCTCGGTTGCAGTTTGTCCCCGGCCCTGGTTGGTTGTGCGGGTGGCAGCCACTCGATGTGTCCCTTTCACATCGATGTTTCTCTCTCTCTCTCTCTCCCACTCTATCTGAACAAAAAAATGAAAAGATGTCCTCGGGTGAGGATAAAAAAAAAAAAAAAGAATTATGTGCTTACCATGAGTTCTTTCCTTTTACAAACCTCATTGAAATTCACCATTTCTAGAAAGCCTCACCTGTTTAAGTGGAATGTGATCCCATTAATCTCTGGCTGTATCTCCAGAGGATACATCAGAAGCTACATGTGTATAGGCATATGCTGACATCCTATGCACTATGTATGAGAGCACGTCAACACGCCTCTTATTTCTCTAATTTTAGCACAAGGGCCATTGAACATGCTCTTTCACTGCCTAGAATATATCTGCTTCTACCAGCAACCCCATCATCTAGTTCTTTTCATATCTCTGCTTGGTTATTTTTGTTCAGGGAGTCTTTGACATCCCTCTGCCCTGCTGATTTACATGGTCTTGTTGCATCTTTGCAGTCTCACTTTTATTCTCATTTGAGTAATCATTTCAGTATTATCTGTCTCTCTTGGTGAACTATAATTCTGTGACCCACAAACCCAGAGTCAGTGGTTGGTTTTGTTTGCTGGTATATTTCTAGCATTTAGCCTGGTGATGCAGGGACCTGGTAGGTGGCTGGCTGCTGAGCGAGCAGGTAAATAAGAGAACCTGTGTCTGCTCTCTGAAACACAGCTACAGTTCTGCTTTACCTGAGGGTTTTGCAATCCTGAAGACATTTCAAAACTCATGGTTTTGTCAATATTGAAAAAATTAAAAAGTAATGATTTAAGAAAAAGTAGTTAATGTGAAAAATAATGAGTTTTACTAAATATATTTATTAAATTGCATTTGAGACATAAACTATATGTATTTTTAAAAAGTCACCCTTAATCTCACCATATTTATATATGAACTATTTTTATTTCATTAAAGGACACTGTCCTTAAGCTAAAGGGACTCTGGAACTTGGGTATTTAGATCTAAATTTCTTTAGTCCCCTTCTCCTCCCCCCCCCCCCCCCAATTTCTCTGCAAGAGATGGGTGGCTTCCTAAACTCTGGTGGGAGGTCAGGATCTATGAGAAATAGCCTTTTATTCCTTCATATCTAACAAAACAAAAACAGTGCCACCTAGAGATGAGAGTGCTGAAGTGTACTCACAAAATAGCCCCAGGCTTTGCTACCTGTCCCTGTCACACAAAGCAGCACACTTAAATTCTGCTCAGCCTCAGGAGCCAGACAAATCCACTGTGCCAAATTCAGGAGTAACACCTGTCTCATTTGACTTAAGACTTTCTTAGTCTGTAGGATCTTATTTGAAATCATAGAAACTATTCTTAAAACCACCTCAGTCACCTTGACTAAGATGTGGGTAACTAGACTTAGTGCCTCTTGACTAAGATTAGGGTAAAATGTTCAAATATAAAAATAGTTGAATTGTGTATGGAGCAATTACAGTTTCTCCCTTACTAATGTTACATGTTCTTCTCAGTAATTTTAAAGCAAATAGCCTTAGACCTAAAGAAAATAATATTTAAAAGAACCCACTTTGACCCTGAATAGCAAAAGTAACCTTGAGAGAGTAATAAAGCTGGAGGCATCATGCACCCTGATTCAAACTATATTGCAAAGCTATAGTAATAATAACAACATGGTATTGGCATTAAAAACAGACACCAAGATGAAAGAGAATGGAGAGCCCAGACATAAAGCCAAGCATATAGCCAATTAATTCATGACAGTGGAAGCAAGAATATGCAGTGGAGAAAGAACCATCTTGTCAATAAATGATGTTGGGGAAACTGAACAGCCACATGTGAAAGAATGAAACTGGAACCCTGTCTTACACCGGACACAAAAATTAACTCAAAATGGATTAAAGACTTGAATGTGAAACCCGAAACCATAAAACTCCTAGAAGAAAACCTAGGCATTAAGTTCCTTGACATTGGTCTTGGTGATGGTATTTTAGATTTGACACTAAAAACAAAGGCAACTGAAGCAAAAATAAACATGTAGGACTGCATCAAACTAAAAAGAATCTGCACATCAAAGGAAACCATCAACAAAATGAAAAGGCAACATACCAAATGAAAGAAAATATTTGCAAATCATGTATCTGATAAAGGATTAATATCGCCAAAATATAATGACCTCATTTAACTCAACGGAAAAAAACCCCCAATCAATCAGATTTAAAATGACCAGAGGATCTGAGTCGATATTTTTCCAAAGAAGACGGTCAAAAGGTACACTAAAAGGTGCGCAACATTACTAATCATCAGGTAAATGCAAACCAAAACCACAATGAGATAGCACCTCATACTTGTTAGAATGGCTATGATCAAAAAGGTAAGAAATAAGTGCTGGTGAGGATATAGGGAAAAGAGAACCCTTTGGCCATGGTCAGTTTGGCTCAGCAGTTAGAGTGTTGGCCCTCAGACTGAAGGGTTGTGGGTTCGATTCCGGTCAAGGGCACATGCCTGGTCCAGATATTTGGGAGGCAAACAATTGATGTGTCTCTCACACATCGATGTTTCTCTGCCCCACCGACTCTTTCTAAAAAAATCAATTGAAAAATATCCTCAGGTGAGGATTAACCAATAAAAAAGAGGGAAACCTTTGTGTCCTGTTGGTAGGATTGCAAATTGGTGCAGCCACTGGAAAAAAACCAGTATGGAGCTTCCTCAAAAAATTAAGAATAGAACTATCATATGATCCAACAATTCCACTTCTGGGTATTTATCTGAAAAACAGAAACACTAATTTTTACCCCTATGTTCATTGCAGCATTATTTACAATAGCCAAGAAATGGGAATAACTGAAATGTCCATCAACGAATGAATGGATAAAGGAAATGTGACATTATCTATCTATCTATCTATCTATCTATCTATCTATCTATCTATCTATCTTCCATATATATGTAGATAAATATATTCTATATAGAGATGTAGATATAACAGTCATAAAAAAGAAGAAAATCTTGCCATTTATGACAACATGGATGGACCTTGAGGACATTATGCTAAATGATGTCAGACAGAGAAAGACAAATACCATATAATTTCTTTTATATATTGAATAATTAAAGAATAACAACAGATCTCATAGATGTAGAGAACAGATTGGTTGTTGCCAGAGATGGGGGCTGGGGATTGGGCAAAATGGGTGAAGGGGGATTCAAAGGTACAAACTTTCAGTTATAAAATAAGTCATGGGGATGAAATATACAGCATGGTGACTATAATTAATACTGTATTGAATTTTTGAAAGTTGCTAAGAGAATAATTCTTAAAAGTTCTCACCACAAGGAAAAAATTTTGTAATTATGTATGGTGATGGATGTTAATTACCCTTACTGTGGTGGTTATTTAGCAATGTATACAAATATCAATCATTATGTTGTACATCTGAAACTAATATAATGTTTTGTCAATTAAATCTCAATAAAAAAAATTCACTTTGAATGTCAGAAGATTAGCATATTTTCTTAATTGAAAGTTCTGGTGAAAACCTGGAGGCAGTTCCATTGTAGCATTTGGTTTAACCAAGAACCAGCTGACTAATGAACAAATTAGATGCAGCATTATTTTGGTATCACTAGATGCCTTGTAATGGCAACCTTTATGGTCATGCATGTTTTATTCTGTCTTTGTTATGTTTTCCAGAGGGATAACCAATTGGCTGATAGAGTAACAAATGAAAAGTAACTTGACTCCATTGACCCGCTTAACTCCGCATGGGAATGATGGAAAGGAGCAGCTGTTTGCTTTGAAACAGTGGAACAGGTATGGAACAGCTCCTTTCATTTGTGCCTTCCTTTATGTCTTTGCACATCTATTTCCAGACCAGTTAAAAACATCAAGTTGTTTCTGGTTGAGAACACGGACTCGGAGTTACAGGAACAGGTACTGTGGGCTATTTGTAACATTTCTGAGTTGCGTGTCTTGAGGTTGCTGTTTACAGAAGTGCCAGTGCAATTAAAAGATAATTATGTTTCAGTAGCAAATAAGTAATCATGCTAGGAAGAACTATTACTTTAAAACATATAATTAACATTTTGGATGTGTTTAGCTTTAAGATACATGATTTGAATAAGGAGATATTGCTCCAGTAAATAGATTCCTATGGAGGAATTACAGAAGTACATAGTAACAAAATGGTACAGCATCTTGGTTTCCCCAATCCAAGCCACTGAAAGTGTTTTTGTTGTGTTTAATGATCACCTCCTCTGCCCATTTTTCTTTTCTCAGCTGTGAAAGGACCTGCCAAGAAAGGCAATGTTTGATTTTTTTCCTTTTTTCAGAATTCACATAATAGATATAGATTAGGCTTCTTTTGCTTTGAAAGAAACATTTCATGTGAACATGAAAAATTGAGAACAGCATTTGTAGGACTTTTGGAATTAGAACCTTTAAAACATGTGTTTATTTTGAATTGGATATCCATCATTATCAGAGTGCTGAATCTTCTTTCAATTGTATCTATTATCACGGGACAAGGGAGTTGTATGTGGTTTGGTGGTGACTCTACAGTAATCAATGTTTTGAGAAATTATGGTATTGATGAATTGTAATACGGCTGGAACATATTTAAGTTCAGAAGATTAAGTATCGTACTGGATGATCAAAATTAAATTACTTAACTTTTCATGACAACATTTTTTACTTCACTGGATAGCTTACAGATGAGAGACTATGAATAAATAATAAAGACTTGAATTTTGCATAGGAATATTAGAATCCAAAAGGCTACAGAAAAAGAATTCATAAAAATTATATTTTATGTAAGGAATTAAATTAAGGGCATGACTCCGTTATTTAAGGTTATTTAAGGAGAGGTTTTAAGGGATGTTTTCACTATTACTCTGTAGTTTGTATGTTCTCAGGGCATAATATATTTTCACACATTAAAACAACTAAAGGTTTCAATGTATTACTCTATTGAATTTGAAACTAAATGTGGTCTATATCAATAATATATGAAGAGTCTGGTTTCTAGCTCAGCAAGGAAACAGAAAAAGCAGCAGGTTGTTGCTGCGAATGCACAGGGAGCAACCTTGCAGGTTCCTTCATGTTGCAGCTTGTGGTGAGCCAACTACTAACCACATTGACCAACTCTTTATTTTCTGTTCCAATAATGATGTAAATGGGCTTTAAAAAATACTGTAATTAAGAGACATTTATCTGAAAGGAAATCTTTGGAGAATGGGGCAAAGAAGGTGATACAAATAATAAAAAAGTTTCCAAACTCTCTGTAACAACCCATTCTGAGTATTATTCAATATACCCCACAGAGCAAGTCAGCCACCATATTTCACTTAGGTACAGATTACAGTGTGATTAGATTTATAACTGAAGAGATGATTTGAAAAAATACATAAACCAAAGGAATGGCCAGTTACCATGTCTTTGTTGGTGTGAGTTTCTATGTATGAAATTATTGGAGAGATGCCAGCTGCCTTCCCTTTTTTCCATTGGGAAGAGAAGTGTGTAGAGCCGTGGCCGCAGGACAGGCAAGGATAAATTCCAGGCTGTTTCCAGCACTATTCTCTGGAAAGGTAGCCCCCAACTGACCCCATCTCTTCTGTTCCACACCGGGGATAACTTTGAGGGAGACAGTCTTTAGAAAAAAATATGCCAGCCAAACTGTCAAAATGTCCCTCTTTTGGCCACCAAGTCCATGAAGATACAAGGTTAGGCTTAGATACAGGGGCCATAATAGAAGGATGTGCCAACTTCTATAGAAACAACTGGTAGCTTTATTATCAGCTCAGATTTCATCTTTTCCTGAAGTTCTCCCATTCAAGTTAACCACTTTTTTTATTTAGGTACCCAATAGACATTTATCACATATCCAATATGTGCCAGGCACGATGCTAGGACTCTGGTGGCACAAGCTGAATCCTTGTCCTCCAGAAGATTCCTTCTTGTTCTGTTTGACCTCTATACTCAGTACTTGTTTAACCCTGAGCACTAGTTTTATTATTGGCTTTCAGTTTTGTATCCCATGTTAATCTGCAATCTCCCTAAAGACCCAGCCTATAGTGCAGACTTTGAGTAAGTAACTGAATTGTCTGCTGTGGGTGTTATCATAATCTTCTTAGCAGATTATCTTTAGTAATCTGTAAATCTTTTTCCCGGATTAGTGATGGCAAGACCCAGTAAGAAGGAATCAAAGCTGGTCCTGTAGGAAGATGTTCCCAAAGTGGAAATTGTGCATGTCTGTGCCTTGTTAAGATGGATTTTAGGACTATTTGTTGATTTATGGGAACCATGACAACTGTCTTATTTCATGATACAGATGATGAAGAGCGAATACATTTTTCCCCCTTCAACTTGAAACTTCCTTTTGAATGCTGAATATAGCGAAAAATAGATAAAGCAAAGGTAACTATCTGCCATACTTCTATCTCTTATTAGTTCTCTTGACTTTCTTTATGAAAGAATGTTGACCTAGATTTATCACTGCTCCTTTTATCCATACTAGTAATGTCTACACACTACATCTGAATCTGTTTCGTTTGAATCTCTTAGTATATCATTGTTATTTCCCCAAAGTATTTATTCCCCAGTACCTAGAGGCCACATTCAATTTAAAGGAAGAGTACATGCAGTGATTTATGAAAAATCCACAATGGATTAGCTTGCCTTGGAGATGTTCAGCGAACCACTACTGGTTTAATTGAGAGAGCACATAAGAGTAAGGAGTCTTGGTTGACAGTGACCAAACTCTAGCTAAAGTATGCTCAAAAGAAAAAAAAATGTGTGTATATTTGTGTGTGGGGAGGAATTTTATTAGCTCAATACAAGTAAGGGTTGACTGACACACTGTAGGAGAGGAAGAGGTTAAGGGCACAGAGAAACAACAGGACCAGTGGGCTGAACCCACTGCGGCTCCCCTTCCATCTCTTCCTGCTGCTCCTCTTCTGTGAGTCAATTTCAATCTCTCATTTCAGGCCAGTCAATAACATCCAAATTTTACATTTTACAGGTTTCACCATCTGAGAGATTGTCCTTTATTTAAAAAAAAAAAAATCCTAGGGAAGGACTCTGATTGGTCTGGCTTGGGTCAGGTACCCACTCCTGGTCTCTACTGAGATCAGGTAAGACTGAGGTAGACCTCAGGAAAAGCATCTGTGTTCGTGGAAACCTAAGAATTCCCCAGCTAGGGGAGCTAATGGGCTATTAGTAAGTTGTTTACTCTAATAATCTCTGGCCAGAATGCCCCAAATGACATTTGTTAAATTGGCTTAGATTACTTCTAATTTCATATTTTACAGTCCTAACATTTGAATCCTTATGTTGATATATGCTTAGTAACTTTGGTGATCTTGCTATCCAGTGAGTTCTTAAAATATCAGAGACAAGCATAATGACTGTGGCCCTATTCCTTGTTCACCAAGCCACACAGAAATCCCTACTTTCCAAATTCCATTCATTGATGGCATAGAGTGTGACTTGTGAGAAGTCAGCCGATTACCTCCATTACTGGGGACTATTAGGTGGATGTGTGGGGCAGAACATCAGTATCCTGAGCCTATGTGTGTGGTGGCAGCAGGAGAGAGGGGACAGGAAAGGAAGTAGGGGGGTTGTCAGTTGCTCAGGCAATTTTTCTTTCTGTTGTGAATAGTCAGCTGGGCTGCGGTTCCAAGACAAGGCTGAGCCACAGGGCTAGAACATAGGGATGAATGACACAGCCCCAAGCCTTGAATTGCTTACTTCCTAGGGACATTGTCACGGGTAGGTGAGAAAGTTAAAGTAGAGCAGTAATAAAAAGAAGTACTACAATTCACTGAGTATGGACATCAGTTAGATACTGCTTTGTGGCAGGCAAAACCAGAATTTTTTCTCCTCTTGTTTTTGTGTGAACCAGGGATTTAGGACTAGAGCTCCTCTGGCCTCCAGAGGCCCCACATTCATGAAGAGCTAATTGAGTGGGGACCCTACAGTCAAGCCACAGTCACAACCTCGGGTAGGTCAGGGTTGTCCTTAGCACCTTCAGGGATGCAGGATTGTTGCCTGGATCTGACTTTTAGAAGCTAAAAGCTCACAAAAACATTTTTAAGTTTTTACATTGTTCTCCTTAACTGAATTCTCTAGTACCACAAGCACTCGCTGTACAATGTTGGGGTGTCGGAGGCCTCCAAAACCATCCTGATTCACCAGGCAACATTGGGCAAGCTCTGCTCCTGCCTGTGTTGGTTTGGTCGTTAGCCTGCTGGGAGCAGATCTGGGAAGCTGGCTCACACGGAGCCCACTCAACCCTGAACCCTGTCGAGCTCAGCTGCTGCCACCGCTGTCTCTGTAGATTCCCTATGTTGGACATGAGGGTCCCCACATCCCTGCCACCGTACTCTGGGCCCAGCTATAGTCACTCATTCACATTTATTCACTCATAGCACTTGCCACACAAGGCCCCAAACTAAGAGATGAATGATGATTTTCAAGAAATTTTTGGTCAGAGGAGTTGGCAATCTAAGTAGTTTTCATGTTTTTTGTTTTTGTTTTTATGGTAAAACATAACATACAATTTACCATTTTAACTCTTTTAAGTATACAGTGCAGTGGTATTAAGTGCAATCACTGTGATATTTAACCATCACCACTGTATATTTCCAGAACTTTTTCATCATCCCCCAAAAGAAACTCTGTACCCATTAAGTAATAACTCTTCATTCCCCACCCGACTTCAGCCCCTGGCTACCTCTATTTTACTTTCTGTCTCCATGAATTTGCCTATTCAAGGTACCTTATATAAGAGGAATCATACAATATCTGTTCTTTTGTGGCTGGCTTATTTCACTTAGCACAGGGCCATTTAGATATTTATAACATCATTCTCGGGCCATACAAAATTATCAACTTAAAAATTAGCCTGCTATATTTGGTCATTTAATGAACTCACCCCTAATGTGATGGCTGGAACTGCTTCTCTTTGGTGAGTCATGTGATGTTAGCTGGTACTGATGATGTTGCTACACGTAACTGCTTTTCCAGGTTTGCATCAGTCAGTCTGGAGCACAGTTAACTCTTTGCGATGGTAAGTTTTGAAAAGAACTGCTTGCAGCAATAAGTTGTTCTGAACACAGACACGTATTTCAGTGCATGTCTCCTCAAAGTGGGAAATTCATCATTGCTTAGGTAACGTTTCCAGAGCTCAAGCAGCTGGAGGTTGTTACACCTAGCTTTCAGCTCATCATCCCTTAGCAGCTGAGTGATTTTCGTGTTGTAGGTTGCCAGGCACATCAGCTGGTTCCACGTTGAACTGTGTGGGAAAGGTGTTCAATTCCAATTGTTTACTTTTCACATCCTTGAATCTTTCATTAAATGCCTCAGTTCCTTTCACACATTCACCAGCATATTCAAGTGTTGTAAAAGGCTTTTGTCCTTCCAGAGTGGGGAAATGCACCATGTTATTCCTTTCAAGTTGCACTTTCCACAGCCTTAATTTAGCTTCAAATGATTTCACGTTTGAAAGCAGGGAGTTGAGAAGCCTGGTTGGGGCCCTGCAGCTTGACATTCAGCTCTGAAAGATACTTGGTAATGTCCACAGTGAACACTAAATCACACAGCCACTTGCTATCATTGAGTTCCCTGACAGGTTTTCCCTTCATCTCCATGAACTGCTTGATTTCATCTTGCAGGTCGTAAAACCTCATGAGCATGCTCTCGAGACTCAGCCACTGTACTTCACAGTGATAAACAAGATCACCGAACTCAGACTCAAGATCATTCAGTAACTCCTTAAACTGTGGCTGTTAAACCCTCTGCTTTTGACAAAATTTATGCATGTCACTACTGTTGACATCACATTGTTAAGCCAGAATGACTGTGCACAGAGACTCTCTTGGTGTATGATGCAGTGGCATGTAATTAAATCACTGGGATCAAGACTGAGATGATTCAGTTCTTTCTTGACAAATGCAATTAACCCTTTTTGTGAGCCAACCATGGGTAGAGCTCCGTCTGTAGTAAAGCCACTTAACTTTTCAAATTTTAGCTCAAGTTTTTCCATTGATAAAACAAGTCTCTCAAACAAGTCCTCACCTCTTGTAGTGCCCTGCATGGCTTCCAGTGACAGCAATTCCTCTCGCGTGTCAAACTGCAATTATCCCACAAACAAAAACGGCTAGTTGGGCAGTATTTGTTATGTCCGTTGTCTCGTCATAAGCCAGAGAGAAAAATGGGAAATCTGCAGAACCCTTCAGTGTGTTTTCAATATCTTGTGCTAAGTCAGTGATCCAATCTGAGATGGTTCTCTGAGACCAACTAACACTCTGAAACAATTTTACTTTGTCTGATGCTAACAACTCTGCAGCAGCCACCATGCACTCTTTCCCAAACTCTCCCTCTACATGAGGCCTCGGCTTCTTTGCAACTAGCTGGCTACTATATCACTTGTCTGAATAACGGTGTCTCTGTCATGACAAGGTCTAGTGAAAGCGGCTTGTTGTGATTCCAAACACTGCTGAAGAGCATTGATTTTATCCAGATGCATTTGACCTCTCAATTCATTGAAGTTAGCATGTTTTGAGCTATAATGACGCTGCAGATTGGCCTTTTCCATTACTGCTAAGGCATTGCTACAAACCAGGCACATAGGTTTGCCTTTGACTTCAACAAAAAAATAATCATTTGTCCATTTCTCTTGGAAAGATTGACACTCTACATCAAATCGTCTTCTCTTTGTAGTTGCCATTTGTAGGATGTCACACCGCTTAAGTTTTAATAACTATCCAGTGTGTATGTCACTAGCTAGGTGATTATTTTGCTTTGATCACTGTTCTAATCCTGCATCTTGGATTAGAAAATATCCAATGTTCATATCATCAACTCCTAAGGTCTTTTCTATGTACTGTAATTTCCTTAATCTTCATCTGAGATTCAGTTTTTGTGAGGATTATTGATCGTGGATGTGTGGATAAAGGTTGGATCGGAGTTATTGTCTGTGCTGACAAAGAAGTTGACAACATCATTGTCAGTCATCAGAGGCAAGGTCATCAATGTTTCAAGGAATCACCTCATTGCATCTTGTCTCATCATCACCAGATTGCCATAGTTTGCCAGTCTGTTAATACTTTCGCAGCTTGTACACTTCCAGCCTGCCTGGCACCGACTGTCCTCTGAGTCACCGTGATATAGGCAGACAGGCCTCAGGCAGCCTACGAGAAGTACATGTGTCTGTCCTGTCACATACTCATATGTGTCCTGTCTATCCTTAATGGACACTCCTTGCTTGTCTCTCAAAATTTATTATGATTCATTGAATATACATTTATGTTGCTATGAAAAAGTCTCCTAGATTTATTCAATTTTATTTATTTATTTATTTATTTATTTTATCCTCACCTGAGGACATTTTTCCATTTTTTGTTCAGATAGAGCGGGAGGGAGAGAGAGGAAAAGAGAGAGAGAAACATCGACGTGAAAGGGACATAATTAAGTGGCTGCACCAGCATGACCCAACCAGGGCCGGGGACAAACTGCAACTGAGGTACATGCCCTTAGCGGGAACTGAACCCGGGTCTCTCTGGACTGCAGGCCGATGCTCTTACCGCTGAGCCAAACTGGCTAGGGCAGATTTATTGAATTTCAAGTCCTGCCTGCAGTTGCCTTGGCAGAGTCAGACTAAATGATTTCTCAGGCCTTATAAGGCCCCGAGGGCCAGCGTTCCTCACCCCTGACTAAGCATAAGGTTTTCAAGGTTTATCCATATTGTAGCATGTGTCAGAATTCCATTTCTTTTTATGGGTGAAAAATATACCATTGTATGTATGTACATACCACGTTTTCATTTATCTGTCTATAAACATTTGGGTTGTTTCCGCCTTTTGGCTTTTATGAATAATTCTGCTATGAACAATGGTGTCCATTCTTGTTTAATATATTAACTCATTTAATTCTTACAACAGTTCCATGAATTTAAGCACTTTTTTTTTGCCTCCAATTTTCAGATGGGGAAGGTCATGCAGCTGGGTCATGGCAAGGCCAATATTGCAACCCAGAGGGTCTGACTACCCTGCACTCTCTGAATTACACACTGTGCTGCTTTTAATAGAAAGTTACTTTATCATTTGAACTCATTATATCCTGGGTACATTATATACATTATTTCTAGATGTGGGCTTTTTTTATCCTTATATCACAGGTGCAGACATTAAGGCTTGCAGAGATTAAGTGGTAGATGCAGAAATGCTCCTCAGTGTGCTTGCTACTCTGGGTGACCCTCCATGAGCCAGGACGTAGCAGGAAGATGGTTCCTTGGGACCTGGACTAGCACAACTCTTTCCGGATAGACCTCAGGGAAAGGAGCTCTCTCAGGGGCAGAAGCCATGAGCACCCCCACGGTTACAGGGCTCCCAGATAAGACCAGGACATTGTTCCTTGATACTTACAAAAAGTTGTTTTGTTTTTATTTTTTTAAACCCTTGCCCTAACAATGGCTAGGCTAATAGGGTCAAATGGATGGTTATTTCCATTGCTGGCTAACTTTGGAAAGCTGACCAAAAAAAAAAAAAAAAAGAGAGAGTTATGCAAATCCTGGCAAAAATAAATCTACACATGTTTGACCTGTGAGGATTGTTTCTTAATAATTCTGAAATAGCTAAAAATCTAGGTAACATTTTGCTTCTACTTAACCATGTGGACAAAGCCATATGCTATTTGCATAGCTGCCTGTGGCCTTTCATACTGGCTTGAAGGTCTACTTTTGGCAATCCTAACCCTTTCCTCCCCTCATTTTGCAGCTGACACAGAAATGTACTTCAGGTTGTCATTTTACAAAAGATCAGAAATGAACTATTTTCCCCTTTAGAGAGTGGGATCCAGTATGCATAACCTTCATGGCTATTTCCCCCTTTTGGTTTTACAGCCTGAGAAAATGGCATGTAATGTACCTACCCAAAGACAACGGAGTATGTCGACCTCTGGAGAAGCTCTATATGAAATTCTTGGTCTGCATAAGGGAGCATCAAATGAAGAAATTAAGAAAACCTACAGGTACAAAGGCAGTTCAGTGATGACATTTCCTGTACTTCTAGTGATAGTTATTTTGTGATTGGCAAGTGTTTCCAATTAAAGACATTTGCTTCCTGCTAAGACCAGGTAATCTCAGTTTTGGAGCTCATGTTTCCTGTTCTATAAATACAGGCAGTTAGGAATAGAAAGACAGACATCGATTTTATGAAAGAATTGTCTCATGATGCTCGGCCTTAGGAAAGGGCAGCCTATGTTCTAAGCCTCCAAAGAGAGAGATGGGGCGGGGGTAAGAGACATCTCATTGTGAATGACTGGGAGTTGTGATTTAGCCCATAACCCATATGATATTGTTTCAGTGAATCTGGTAGAAGGATTTAAAAATAAATAAATAAATGGGGGTTTGTTGCTGTATTGTATACAATACTTTTTAAATCTTTAATTTTGATCTTTCATATTAGCTCTAGTTTCAAGTTAGCTATTTTGGGGAAAAATTGAAACATCTTTTCCTTTAAAGCTCCAAGGCATTTTTTTTTTAAAGGAATGAATACAAAACTAATTTAATTATTATAGAAAAACTGGAAACCACTAAAAATAAAAGCAATAATATTTATCCATAATTCTACCTTAATGATAATTATCATTGACATGTTTTCTTTCTAGTCTTTTTTTCCTGTTTAGATAAGAAATTTCAAAATCACATTGGATTCATCTATGTTCTCTATCTTTCACTTTAACAGGGTTTTATCATAAAAATATCTTGATGTTATTAACTATTCTGATTTTTAATGCTATGGCTATTCTCTTATCTAATTACTTTATTAGCTATTTTTTAAACATGTACATTCTTTTACTTTTTTCCTATTAATTTCCTTGTATATAAATAATGATGTATATTTTCAATTATTTTCTTATTTATTGAGGAATAGAGTTGTGTCTTTAGAAAGAAAAATGAATCAAAATATAAATGAAAGTTTATTTTTAATCGGTTACTTCTTATTTGGCCTTGAATCCTTGCATTAGGTTTGTAAAACTTATGAATTTTTTTGCTTGTTTGTTTTTTGATGTATGTAAGTTTAACATTTTTTAGTAGATAAATTTGTGGATTTTAATTTATCTGTCATGGTTAAAAGCCTCTCCCAATTACAATATTATAAAAATATTAATTCATTTCTTCTAGTACATTTATTAATTTATTTTATTTGGTTAATCCTCAGCTGAGGATATTTTTCCATTGATTTTTAGATAGTGGAAAGGAGGGAGAGAGAAACATCGATGTGAGAGAGACATGTCAACTGGTTGCCTCCCACATGACCCCAGTCGGGGCCAAGATCAAATCTGCAACCCAGATGTATGTCCTTGACTGGGAATCAAACCCATGGCCCTTCAGTCCCTGGGCAGATGCTTTAACTGATGAGCCAAATCGGCCAGGGCTGGTATTACTTTTTCTATATTAAATCTTTGATTGATTTGTTGTTTGATGTGAGGAATAATGGTAAGATTTCAGGTTTATTTTTTCCTAAATCACTAGCCATCCAAAATTTATTGAATTCTACATTTTTATCTACTGATGGTAAAATTCTTTAGCTTTGGATTGGAACCTTCACCATGTGGTAAACTGTAGTACCCAAAATGCCTTCAAGAAGCATGTATTGAAGAATAAATGACAGAAGTGAAAATTGCCATTTGAATCCAAACAGTTCTATGAAAATGGTAAAGTCTGATCAAAGTCAATATCAACATTGTACCTTATATTTCAGTTAAGGTGCTGGGGAGAGAAAGAATCTTTCTGTTTTATTGTGTGCTAGAGCTATCCAGGAGTGTGCCTGGGAGCTGCTCAGCACTGTGTGTGGATGTCCTTGGATGAGTCACTAAACTTGACTCTTAGGCTTTAGGGCTGAGACATTGTGCTGGGGTGGGAGTTGGGAATCAAAGTAACTGTATTGTAAGCCTAATACCTACAAAGATGCTCTCCAAAATGAGAAATAAGTGATACCTAACTGCCTTGTATGTTTTAAAACCCACTTTACAAATGTGACTTTTAATTGCCTTTATTAATTTTGTAAGCTAAAATTTCAGGTCATATTCTAATTAAGGCACTAATTATGCCGAGCTGTTTACAAGTTTAATAATTACAACCTAAAGTCTTTTCATGTAATCAGCACCTTCCTATTAATTTTGTTTTAATGTCATACAAATATTATTTTTTCAGCTGATTAGGGTACTAGTATGCTGCCAAAAGCATCTGCTTCTATCTAAATTACACATTTGTATTCTGCAAGTTATTTGAAGTATATGAGCAGGCTGAAAAATCTACTGAGAATATTATTCTTATATTCAGAGATCTGGATCAAAGCAGCCAAAATACAGTGAAATTAGAAGTCAGTGAAATTTAATAAAATTACCGACTGTTGATTCCATACGGTGCTTGACCTCTGTTGATCCTTGGTTGTGCTCTTGGAAACAAGGCTGAGTTAGAAGACATTTTTTCTCCTTTTATATTTTATTTTTATTTTTGAATAGATAACATATTATCTGATTAAAATGAAATCAAATAGATATACAAAAAGTCTCCCTCATACCTCAGATCCCCAAGTTCCTGAACCTGCAGGGAAAGCAATTCCTTGCGTATCCTTCTAGAGAGATCTTATACTTACCTACACAAGCATATATACAGACCATCTGGTCCCAGCAAGATGGTATAGGTTTGTCTCTGTTTCCATGTGCTAAGCATGACTAAAAAGCCTTGGATATAATGCAAGAGACAACTAAAACAGAACCTTGAAAGGTGGAAAGAGAAGATGAATTAGTTAGGAAACACAGGACAAGGGAACAACTCAGTGGTGAGGCATCTTATGACTCCCCACCCAAGAGAAGATAACCCAGGCCTGGCCTTTCCTGACACCCACTCCAGCAATAGAAGGCAGCCAGGTAGAATCTTATTCTTCCTCCCAATTGAACAGGAGCCCTGCCAGCAACTATAGACAAGCCCAACAGAAACAGCAAAGGGGATCAACTGAAAGTCCTTATTACAAAACTGTGCAGAGGACTTTCCCTCCAGCCTGAAACTCCCCTTTCTCACCCAGAGACCTTACTCGACAGGGGGCATTAATAAGAAGGTTTATGCCACAACACAGTCTGAGCCCAGCAAGTGCTTTTTGCAGCCTGGAGATTCCCTTCTCCCACCTAAAGGCACCAGGCAACCCAGGCAGGAAGCTCTTTTCACTTCCTGAACTAGTACCAATGGTGCCAGTGAGGGCTCCAGAGGCAGGAGACATACCAAACCAATGCAAATAACACCACAGACGCTCTGAAAATTAGATCGTCAGTGGAACCACAGTCCACAAAAGTAAGCTAGAAACTTCATGTTAAACCCAGAGTGGTTGCCCGTTAAAATAAAAATATATATAAATAGGACTCAGTCTCCTAGCTAAAATGTCTAGATGAAAATCATTGTACACAGAACAGCCATAAAAAAGAAGGAAATCTTACCTTTTGCAACATCATGGATGGACCTGGAAAGTATTATGCTAAGTTAAATAAGCCAGTCAGAGAAAGACAAGTACCATATGACTTCACTTATATGTGGAATCTAATGAACAAAATAAATGAACAAAGTGGAGACAGACTCATGCATACAGAGAACAGATTGATAGCTATCAGAAGGGAGGGGATTGAGGGCTGGGTGAGAAGGATGAAGGGATTAAGCAAAGAAAAAAAAAAGAAAGACTTGTGTACACAGATAACAGTGTGTTGATTGCCAAGGGTGGTGGTGAGGGGATGTAGAAGAAGGTAATGAGGGAGATAAATGGTAATGGAAGGAGACTTGACTTGGGGTGGTAAACACAATACAATATACAGATGATGTATTATAGAATTGTTTACCTGAAACCTATATAATTGTATTAACTGATGTCACCCCAATAAATTTTTTTTTTTAAAAAGACCACAACTTTCATGAGAGAACATAATCTGACTTCCACACTGAGATGAGCCAGATATTGGATTTATCTGCTAAGTGTTTTTAAATAACTATAATAAAAAAGATTTAGCCCTGGCCGGTTTGGCTCAGCGGTTAGAGCGTCGGCCTACGGTCCGGAGAGACCCGGGTTCGGTTCCCGCTAAGGGCACGTACTTCGGTTGCAGTTTGTCCCCGGCCCTGGTTGGTCGTGCGGGTGGCAGCCACTCGATGTGTCCCTTCACATCGATGTTTCTCTCTCTCTCTCTCCTTTCCTCTCTCTCCCTCCCACTCTATCTGTACAAAAAATGGAAAAATATCCTCGGGTGAGGATAAAAAAAAAAAAAAAATTTAGCAATGATAAATTCTCTTGAAACAAATAATAATTAAAAAAAAAGATATTCCACCAAAGAAATAGAAGTTATTCTTAAAAAGGAAACAAATGGAAATTAACAGAACTCAAAAATGACAGAAATGCTACAAATAACTGGAAGAGCTCTGTAGCAGAGAAAGATGACTGAGGATAGAACCAGTGGAGTTGAGGACAGAAAAATGGAACTTAGCCAATCTGAACAAGAGAGAGAGTCAACTGAAAACAAACCACAGAGTCTCAGGAACCTGTAAGACTATAACAAAAGGTCCAACATTTATGGCATTGGAGTCCTAGAAGGGAAGGAGAAAGAGAATGGGATTGAAAGAGTATTCAAAGAAACAATGACTAAAAATTCCCCAAACTTGGCAAAATCTATTAACCTATAGATCAAGAACCTGAGTGAATAATAAATAGGGTAAATGTAAAGAAATCCATGCCAAGACACATCATAGTTAAACTTCTGAAAACTAAAGACAAAGAAAATACCTTGAAAGCAGACAAAGAAACAACACATTATTTATGTGGGAACACCAAGTCAAATAACTGCAGATTTTTTATCTGAAACAACAGAGGCCATAAAGAGGTAACACAACATTTTTCAAGTGCTAAAAGAAAAGAACTGTCAACTCTGAATTCTGTATTTGGTGATACTATGCTTCAGGAATTAAGGGGAAATAAACATATTCTCAGATGAAGGAAAACTAAAAGAATTTATCACTAGCTGATCTACTCTTAAAGGACATTCTTCTAAATAAAGAAAATGATGAAGAAAGGAATCTTGGATCATCAGGAAGGAAGCAAGGAAAATAAAACATGGATAAATACAATAGTCTATCCTCCTCAAGAGTTTTCTAAATTACACATTGAAAGGTGAAAGTCAGTGGTTCCATGTGTGCAGGCATGCTAAATAGCAATCTCAGACAGTGAATAAAGAAAAATTGAATTTATTTAAAGAAAGGGGATGGGGGATGGGTATATCCAAAGGGAAGGGCTACACATCACAGAGCCATGGGGTATTGGGTTGATGATGGCAGCCTCTAGGAGCTGGAATTTCATCCTTATATGCATCCACTGGCTGGAAGCTTTTGTTAGTCAGTGAGTTTTGGGGTCTTGGTTGGTGGGTTTGAGCAGGGGGTTGGATCTACAGAAATGCAGATGTGCAATTGGGTGCCTCTTTGGTTGCTGGTGTCCAGATGCATTTTTTGTCTGGCCAGTTCTCCTGTGGTGGGAAGTTTGGTCTTTGTTCTCCTAGGGTGGGGAGGTTTGCAAAATGGACTTTAGGAATTATATTGTCTGTGTAAGTCCTAACACATATGATGATTGGTATAGAGTTTATAACATCATCTGATACTCAAGACAATTATGTCTAAAATTGGGGAGGATAATGGGACCCAAATGGGAGTCAAGTTTCTACACTTCACTCAAATTGGTAAAACAATATCAGTAGACTGTGATAAGTCATTTATACACACACACACACACACACACACACACACACACACACACATATATATATAGTAATACATACCAAAACATTATGAGTAAATCTAAATGGAACCTTTAAAAGTATTAAAATAACCCACAGGAAGACAAAGAAAATGGAGGACTGAGAAGTAGAGGACACAAATGGAAAAAAATAAGATGATAGACTTAAGCCCTAACATAATAATTATATTAAATATAAATGCTCTAAGTATACAGTATATTTTTCCTTCCTTGTTATACAAATGGGGGTGTACTATCACTCTTATCCTGCACTTTGCATTCTTCTTTTAACAATGTACTTTGGAGATCATTCTCAGGAATGATCCATTCATAAAAAGTTTCATTCTTTTCACACTTCAGCATCACATTCCATGACATAAATGTTCCATGACTTAATCAGTTCCCTGTTGATAAATATTTAGGGTGTTTTCCAACTTCGAGCTTCTCAGGAAAACCCCATGGTACCAGAAAGGTAGAGAGAGGTGGGGGGAAGGAAATTATCTTAGCTCCTGTCCATGTCCAAGTTTTTGCTGTGGCTCTATTCCAAATTTCTGGAGCAAGGATCTAACAGGCCCAGCTGGGTCAGAGATTCTCACAAGTCTAGCAGACTCTGACTAGAGATCTGGAATCACAAATACCCACTAACTTAGCAAGGCCCATGAGATCCAGTTCTATGGGAAGGAAAAGGGGCAACATTTGGGAAGGAAATAATGTCTTTAGTTCTTTATTACTTTAAAAAAATTTAACATAAATAGCAGCCTCAGACCTATCTCAGCCCCATCTTGTATCTATTTGTAAATCTTTATCATAAAATCTTCCTGTAAGTAAAGCATCTTTTTTCTTCCATCATTTTTCCTACAATAGTATAACCATATTCATTTTTCAGCTGGTAAATTGGAGTCCCCAGCTACCTCAAAGGACAGCTGGGAGGAGTGACAAGAGGAAGGCTTATATATCAATCCATCATGTACTGAAGCTCTTGTCTCACTGAGATTTTATAAAGAGAAATGAGATCATTTTTCTCAAAGCATGTGGAGCCCTTTGTGGAAAAGCACAATGAAAACATCAGGTACTATTATGAATGGATAGATATCCTCATCATCCTTAAAAGTCTGAAATTACCCAGCCATTTGCTGCTTCTATTCAAAAACCATTTATCCAGCATAAAGTGACTTTTTGCTCCATGTCAAAAGTGCCATCTCACAAGATGAGACTCATGGTATGTATGAGTTTCATGCACGGCCTTCATTATGGAATAAATCTGCTGTTTATATTGCACAGCATAATCATTCCAAGGAGCTTGAAGTTCAAGGCTCATTTAATCCAAATTTCTCATTGCTGGGCCATGCCACTTAATCCTAACAGTGTTTGCATGAGATAAGCAAATAGTATTCCCTATTCTCCCACTGCCTAAAAGTCTTTACTTCACTTGTTCACGCTCTCTGAAGGAGACTTATTTGAGTTAATCAAATACACTTGAAAAGGCTAAGCAGTTACCCATCTTGCACATATTTGCCGTAACTTTAAACTGGCATATTTACCCCTTTCACCTAATTTAAGTAGTCTCTTTGAGGCAACAGGAATTTGAGCTGGGAACCTGGGGAAGAAGGAGAGGAGGAGCGAGACACTGGTGAATGGTAGGACAAATGGGCCGGTTGTTGAAATAAGATACTCAAAGATTATTCTCTAACCCCCAATACCAGGCTGTGGTCCCTTTACAGGGAACTCAAGAACTTGCATTCTTCTCTTAACGATGCAAGAACTTGGGAACTCAAGAACTTGGGTTCCCTGTAAAGTCTTCACCACCCAAGTCCTTCTAGACTTTCCTCTGGGAAAGTCTCCCAGGACCCAGGAGTGAGTTCATCCCCATGTAGCAGTGTTGCTCCACCAAATCAGGTTTCCATCCTGTTAATGATACTGCTTCCCTCCCAGTGGGCATGCTGATGGCCACTGCTGGCACAACCCTGGGCATGCTGGGTAGGCTCTGCTGCTGCAGCTCCTGTGGTTCTCAGCTGGGCAGAGCTGTTCTGCTATTCTGTGCCATGCCTGGCAGGTATAACAGGTGCTCCTTGCTAAATACTCGGTGACCAAGTCTTCTGATTACTCCTCCAGGCCAAGAAGCCACCTGTGGCATTCATCTTGAGACTTGAGGGAGTCACCAGTGCCTGCTGGGCTGTGTGCCACTGGGAGGTAGAAGGCTGGATGTAGGGGATGGCTCCCTCCTTTTTGTGATACCCTCTGTTAAAGCCTCCAGTGAGTGTCCAGGTTTGTTAGAAAAGCTCCTTCCATCTTTTCTTATAGATGTCTTTCTATAGGACCCAAACATGTGCTCAGAGGTGAGTCAGAGAATAGCAGTAATGACTCTATACTTAGAATCTCCATCTTTTCTGACTCATAAAACTTTGCTCCTTGGTCAAGCTCATGATGCCTGGATCTTTCTTCCCTAAAATGACATTTTTTTTCAAGGAGCCTCCTATCCCACCTCCAGATAGGCTTCCATCAGGCTGCCCCATTGGTTCATCAGACTTACCCAGCCGTGGCTACCCCAGCAGGGTGTATGACATGGATTCCTTTCCGACAGGTTCTTCAGGCTTGGGGGACTTCTGGGAGGCTGCGTCCATGCCTCCAGGAAGGCCCTGATGTGCTCAAACTCCCAGCCATGAACAGTGAACTGTAATGGCTCAAAGATGCATCCACATCCCATCATAGCCCTAAAACAAACAAGGCTGCCTGTTCCGTATTCCTTTTAGTAACTTGAAAGAGGTAAATATAATTTGCTGCTCAGCAAGCACTTTGAGTGTGTGATTAGATCCTCCTTTTCTTGATATTGACTGGCGCATAAAACTTCTTCACTCCAAAGACTGTTGATTTATACCTCCTAGTGCTACCGAATTATAGCAGATGCCAAGAAGGCTGATCCGAGCACTTAGTACCGACTATATGCCTCACAATCATTAATGGCTTTCTAGCATCAAGTTCTGTTCATTATTCAACAGATATTTACTGAGTACCAACTATGTGCTGGGCAAACAGGAAAAATCCCTGCACCCCTGAAGCCTATATTCTGGGCTGGGGGAGTGGGAATGCTTAATTATAAGTGAAATATACAGTCTATTAGATGTTGTAAGTGCTGTGCATAAAGCAAAGCAGGTAGGAGGTGCTGGGAGTGGTGCTGGAAGTTACATATTCTTTTAAAGGTGTTCCACGTAGATTTTAACACTAAAATCCCTTGGTTGCCATGAATTCTAAGTATGCAGTAGAAGTTAAGAGCACAGGGTATGAATTTAGAAAAACCTGGACTCAAATCCCTTCTCTTAGTCTCAGTTTCTTCCTAAGTAAAATACAGTTAATGATACTGAGCTCAGAGAACTGCTGAGAATTAAGTGAGGCATACATGTAAAGTATTCAGTGAGGGTCTGGCACACGGGTACTGGGTGCCGCAACAAATGCATAAGAAGCAATAGAAAAAACCCTATAGAATTGCATTCTTCTAACTAGTTAGGGCCTGGATTCAAGGAGAATGTCCAAGGAGAGAGAGAGAGAGAGAGAGAGATTACATGGAGCCATTTAGGTGGGTTTGGGGAAGGAGGGAGACCTGTGGGGGGCCTTCCTTGAGACCCTCTATATGCTCCATGGCCCACTGTGTTGTGCCATCAGAGCATAAAACCCTTACAGGTTTTAGTTCCTTCCTTTCTTGTCTGCCTCTTCCGCTGGATCAGTTCTCTGAGGAAAGGCACAGTGCTTTGTTTTCCTTGCTCTCCAGCCCTAGCACCATGCTAATGTTTATCAGATACAAGAATGAATTGG